ACTTTACATTACATAAAAAGTGGGATTTCAGCATCATACTGGTTGATTGACAATTAACAATAGATAACTCTAACACTGAGTTTACAGACTTATAATCACAAATAAGCCTGAAACACCCCCATCAGACTATTCTGGAGAATAGATTCCGTAGTAGTAGTTATTTCGTTGCCACATGTTTCAGTTACCCTGAGGTTTGACTGAATGAGTTTCCTGCTGTGCAGATAGCCTATGAAACGACTAAAACCATGTTCTTGGGGAAGTCTACCTCACTGTTCCTTAACTAAATCGGAAATCACAACTTGTTTATTGAAGATCACCATATACGGACTTCACAGGCAATACACTGCGGTTGCATAATGAAACAAGAGATTATTCTACCTCGAAAATAACACTACATTAAATATTTCCCTTTAGCCTTTTACCAATACGTTATACTAAACTTGATCAGGAATGAGATAAGTGGACAAAACGACTTTATAAAAAGGCGCCACTGTAAGCTGAATATCCAGCCCTCCACAGTAAAAGTACCTTTTGTGCACACACGGAGGTGATGCTGCCACCTACAATGTCCAACAATACCCTCAGCAATTAACTATGAAGTTACGCAGGCCAATAATCCATAAAAACGATGCAGCTTGTTACCCCGATTCGCTTCAAAGTATATTGTAAATAAATCATAGTTAGAATAGAACTTCAAGTTAACTCTTGGACCTCACAAATGCACTAGGTTAGAGCCGTCACCATTGGAATACCAGAAAATTCCTTTTATTAAGCTATCAATAAAGTTAAGGCTTACTCAAAAGTTACCCAACAGTCATTTCACCACTTTGAAATGACACAGAGGTGTAAATCTTAAATTTGTGTATGTGACAAAAGTATGTGCTTCAAAGATCCTTGGGAACCAAGCTTATTTATTAAAGAATCTTTTATTCACATAATTTAACCTGACTACTAGGATTGAAGCTACGGAATTTATGCTAAAGATATGTGCAGATTCTCTCAACAGCAGTGATAGCACTCATTATTGTACCATATGGTTCACGCAACTCCTGCTCGAAGCAAACTACTCCTTGACTCAGACCTACTACGCTGTAAACCATTTTGTTGTGTGCAGGACCGAATTTCCTAACAGATATCATGCACCGTCCAAATACCACTAAAATTTAACATTTTATATCTCCATCCATCGTATATAAGCTCATTGAAAAGGGTCTGAAGCAAGGCAAAGCAGCGGGACCTGATGGAATGACTCCAGAGGTATTTAAGTACGGTAGATACAGTTTACTGTCTGCATTAACTGAGGTTCTAGGCAGCGTCTGGGAATCAGAAGAAGTCCCATCGGGTTGGTGTAGGTCATTGATTGTCCCGATAAACATGAAGCAAGACAAGTCTTCCTGTGATAATCACAGGGGGATTAGCTTGACTAATATAGTATCTAAAGTTCTAGGTTCACTTATGATGCGTAGACTAAGCGGTCCTCGGAATCAACAAACACAAGAGAACCAGGCAGGAAGAGGGTGTATTGATCATATCTTCACCCTGAAAGTGAAAGACATGAAAAGGCTAGCTGTCTTTGATCATAGGTGTCTGCGTTCTATCTCCCATGTTAAGTTGTATAACAAGGTGAGCAGTATTGAGGTTAGGCGTCGGTCGAGTGCTAGGTGAGGAGGGTAAATCAATCGACGAGTCTGTAAAGTTACATCGATTGAAATGGATAGGATATTTGTTACTTATGCCTAGCCATCGCCTCCCTCGACGATCAATGTTAGTCAGCTGACATATGGTCAGGTTGGAAAAGAGCCGGCGGTGGTCTAACTGAAACATTATTTCACCAGTCAATGAAATCTATAACAGTTAGTTTAAGCCGGTCACGCAGGAAGGTGTAGACTTCCTGACTGGTTGGGGTCCTCTGAACCTTCAAAACCAATGGCTGGAGACAATTGGTGATATGGCTCAAAGTTGTTCTCAATGGCGCAGATGCACTCGATCCTTATGGCTTATGATACCAAGTAAAACTATACTGTTCTTCGATACTACTAGTCTTTTTGCATCATATCTATGTTAACTGTTTCTATTTTTCACTTCTTTTTACTTTCTCTTGCTTTGTGTGCTACATGGAGTGTGGCGACTCGAACTGCTGCACATCGGTGCGAATTTCTATGTTGAAACCAGTCAATCAGTAAGTCAGTTATTCCTGAAAGAAGCCGTTCTGTGGAGTTTTATTCCGAGCATTCCTGTCTGACTTGGAATGATTTGAAAAAAAACGGAGGTAATCTCTCTATGACCTAGTGCTTTAAAATAAGAGACAAATGAGCCGTGCTTAAATCAGCTTGTGGAACGCTTTTTCTCGGTCGGTCGGACAGATAAACTTGAAAAACACGTATGTGCAAAGTTCTATGTCGAAAACAGACAGACATATAAGCTTATTGAAAAGGGTCAGATAACTTATTTCGGACAATCTGCTACCGTGACATAGTGGACATTTACAAAACTCCCTCAAGAAAACAGTACAAGCTTTTTCCCGAAAAGCATCAAAATGTGGGTCTCTCAGCTATTTTTGCTGAATTTATGAGAAAGATATTTGGTATGATGTTGTTGCCTCTTAGGTACAGATATATATGATGATCTGGAAAACTCTATAGACTATAAATACGTAAAAATGAATGGTGAAATGGACGCAATCAATATTTCGCAAGACCATAACAAGCCATTACGGCAAGAAGAACATGCAGCAACATAGGGGATTCATGCTGTAAGCCAACGGAAATGCATTCAAGCACATTACTCGACTCTGGTCACATAAATCAGTGGCTTAAGTAGTCCAGCTTACTCAGAAACAATAAATAAACAGATACCAAGATACTTACAATACTTAAAATTTACGATGTTACAAATGAATTTTTCGACCGTATGCTACCTAATCAGTAGCACTTAAATGCCAATGAAAAGACAGACTACCGATACAAATCTAATATTCATCAAAGACATGAATGAGTCTCTCATTATTACAACCCTTAAAATATCCCGCTCGCATTACAGCGTTTTCTCGTAGAAATCAAAATTTGTCTACAGTCTCTATGCATTGCACAGAATCCTAGCTCACACGACATATTGCAATCCTTAAAAGCGAAGTGTTTCTGTATACTACATAATTTTATCTCTCAATCTACTCAGATTCACGTTAAAACATTCTCCATGTTAGGCATAGTAACATACTTTTAATCCTAAAAAGCATGAAGTTTTCAGTAATAATACTGATATTAATAATCTGTGTAACCAACTACGAAAACCCTCTTGAAATCTTTACACTAAATTCCCAGTAACTCAGAAATTAGTCTTTAAAATTGTTTAATGGTGTAACGAACAATAAAACTTTATAGAACGGACACAATAAGTGAGCAAACTGATTTCATTCATGAACTTAGTTCAGGAAAGATTGTGGAGCATATCAACAGTTAGCATATTATTCATCCTTTTTCCAATTATGCAATAATCAGACATTATCTTGATATCAAGAGGAAAATAAGAGTATTTTAAAGGTAGAAAAACAGAAGTATGCATATACACCAACAACGTCATGGCACATTAACAAGCTCAATCATTGGAATGCGGAGAACAAAGAGAAATAAATTGAAGAGGAAAACTTAAGGAAAACCACCTGCACCACAAACATCTGATGAGTAAAATAACTAAAGTTGTTAAAAGAATTAATCGTAATAATGTAGTACCAAAAGAATGAACATGAGAACAAATACCTCGTGAGATGGTAAAGCGAGGAAATGTGTGCGGGGAGCAAGAGTAATCAAGGAAACGTGTAAAAATGACAGGATGACATGCGTATACATATGTATATATTTATATATATATAAATCAGGCTTTCCTACAAGTCACTGTCGACAAGTATATCAACGTGTACGAACAGTTTCTGACGATGGTAGTTCAATTCTTCTAGTGCAGATACCAGGAATGATAATGGTCTGTGTAATTTACTGCACGTTACTTTGTTGTCATCATTGTAACAAACTCTGAAAATAGGAATAGGTATTGATAACAACGGAAATCCTAAAAGTTTTATCTATCACACAACTAGGACACACTGCATGCTACCGAAATTTGCACTGCTCAACAAAACACGTGGACGAACAAGCAGGTATTCACATTCATGTGAAAATATGAACCAAAATTTCACAAAGGCATGCATTTGCAAGGAAAAAAGTGGTACAAAGTGACAACATGAAATAAAAGCAGGAGCACAGAAATGACTCGATACCTATACAAATACTAGTCTAGCGTCAGTATCTCAAACTTGACTGTGTGAGAAACTAATTTGGTTAACAGATATTTTTACTAATCCTACAGACTAGAATTCAAAATACTTTGCCCAGTACGATAAATGGTGACATAAAACTCTTTTACTGTCCTGAGTAATTTAGCAACATAAATAAAGCCGTGCCGAAAAAAAACCAGATAAATTGAAAACTCATTATTCGACCCAATCCTTTACTTAAGAAATTTCAAAAGTATATATCCCGAGAGGACGAACAAATTGTGAGAGCTTACTAGATAAAATAAACGTTAACCTTTTCGTCAAAAACCTAACATAAAACTAATTCAACAATACATACAATACCTTAATAAACGTGATTTCATATGCAGAAGAGTGAGCATCAAAGGCTTTATTGTTTTTCCGCATTGTAGAGATAACGATAAACAATTTTCAAGGTTAAAAAATAAGAAAAGGTTGTGTGCAAGAGTGGGAGCGTACATTTGAATTTTCTAAAAAAAACATAAAATAGCCCAAGGGAGCATCAAAACACCAGAAAAACTCAAACTTTATTATCAGACTCTTAGTTCGTAAACAACGCATGCGTAAACAAAGGGCCACTTAACACGGCAATCACAAAGTTGCTTTACAGATATTGTTTGCTCATAATGAGCATTCAGATGAATGAGTGTGATGTAAATGTTTATTTCTGGTGTTACTTCAGTATTCTCATTTCGCCGTCATCATTTTGACGAACTCTGTTGATACATTTCACGAACGAAGATGATTTTGAAGATGGTCGTAGTGATATAATCGAAGCCACCACATGCGAATACCATCAGACAAATCGGATGAAGTGAACACGAAAACGCACCGCAGATGCACAGAGTAAAAAAGACAACAATGAGATGGCGAAATTTTAACGACATATATATGATGCACAACATATAAACATAAATGAACTAGGAGCAACATAAACAAACTACCAACACTACACTATTAGGACTTAAAAACTACGACAGTTTGGTACGTTATTTAAGAAACGAAACATGCTAAATTTACCTTCATAATTTACTTGACCGTCACCGTCAATATCAGCTTCACGAATCATTTCATCTACTTCCTCGTCTGTTAACTTTTCACCCAAATTGGTCATTACATGCCTGCAAACATCAACAAAATACATAATTAACGCGTTGCTGAGCGCGACTACGTGTTGATGTTTGTTAAGAGAACAAATAATTGCCACAAACTGAAACATAAAAAATGCTTTTAAAGATTCTGTCAGATATAAAAGCGTTAGACTTTAATGAAAATCACATTATTTTAAATAGGGGTTACACACACAATTCTACGTTATTCGGGTAATCCAGTGTGTTGGATTACATGAAAGTCAGTTTATAATCTCACTAGAACAAACATTAGGTCTCAAACAGTGCACTTGGTTTATTTGCCACGCTTCAAACACAAGACAAAACCAAAAGAATGAAAAAGGATAAGACATGTAAATCCAGAAAACATGATAAACGGTTATATGACTTTAGAAATAAGTGAATAAGACTACATTATTTGAAATAGGTGTTACTACACTTAAGCTGAAATGAATTTCTAACATAAAACTTCGCAAAAAAGCCCACTAGTTTAAGTTGCTAAACTTCGTTTATCACACGAAAGTAGAGAGAAAAATCTAAAAGAAATAAAATGAACAGAGGGAATAAGAACACGGGGAATGAGCAATTGGTAGATCCAGGAGTTCATAAAAGGTGTATGCGTCTGTGTCATTCAGAGCAACTTCAAGTCTTATAATCAACAAACTCCAGCCAGTGGATCTTAGTGTCTCAAGGGCTCCGGTCAGTCTTTACACTACTGCAAGACTTAAACCGGTAGCTAAAGACTTTGAGGATTGATGTCGGGACCTAACTCCTGACGGCCAAAAGTACTCGACGATGAAAGAGGAACAATATATTGAGGGGGGTTGGGGAAAGCCGTCACACTAACAACTTAGATCCAGTGACATAATCACCCAAGACAGTGCCTACTTCAGGTGGCGAGGCGTACTCTTTGGATGTGAAAAAGGATGTGACGATGGTTACGTAGATGACTATCTTAACAAGGTTCACACTCACTCAATATTTCTAAAAATAGAGGTCAACTATTAATTCAACCAACACTTTGCCAGTTGTTAGTGGAAATGTGATAGGTGTTATTTGCCTACAACTCTACCAACTTTCAACCTAGGTACCTTATGAAAATACCAGCCTGTCAAAACTTGTTCTAGATACGATTTGTCTACTTACTCAGGGTGATTGTCTATTGTCATCCTAATTTCTATGAATTTTTCAACAAAAAAATCCCAATGCATATGCGTGTATAGGTATGAAATCTAGGTAGCAGGAGCTGTTTTTGTTAGACAGTGAGAAAGCACCAAACTGAATTATCCACGTAAATTAACTCAAGAAGCCAAAATTCAGAAACGCACACGTAGAAACAGGGAACAAACGCAATGCAAGTAAAATGGACGAAAATGATCGTCAAGAATAATTAGGTGAAGAGTAACTCGGATTTAATGAATTCGCAATATTATAAGGAGTGAACACATCCATGCCGTTGAGAAGGCTTTTAAGTCATGTCACTAACTACATTCAGCCACTGATTCTCAGTGTCGCAATAGTTGCTCGAGTGAATTGCGCTTTGAGAAACTGAAGAACACTCCAACATAGGTCGGTATCCACTTGTATTCTAGGCCACGAGAAAATCTGTTTCTAACAAAAGCAGTTATGATTAGGCAAAAGTAGTTTAAAAGCCTAATTAAATTACCTGCGGAACTTATAGTGCCGTCACCAACAGACTTTTAGTCTTATTGAAGCATGATTATAATAATGATTCACGTTTCGATACATTACATATTGCACACAACTGTACATTAATCCAAACAAAAATGTTGAGTTAAGTATTTCGACGTACTGAGAGAAGGCAATCGAAATGAAAAAGGAAAATATTTGGGGAAAATTTGCAAATTTACAGCTAAGCTCGTCTGGACATCTAGAAGTACAGCCCAAGTGGAAGCATTGATACTAACTTCTACGGAACTAAGACATGATCAGTGCTATTTTGAAGATAGGAAGTAACCATTTACACTTACCAACACGATACATTCGCATCCTTTAGTGCTTAAGTCGATGACTATGCTACTACGCTAAAAACGTCATAAGAGAATGTATATCCGACCACTCTTACAGTATACTGTTGCTGAGTTTCGACACATCAAATGGGTATGAAGTAACGGTGGCTATACCCATGACGTGAATGCTAATGATACCACCTAATTCAAATCCAGTGACAGCTTCACATCTTCGCATATTTATTACTAAACAGAAACACCAATGATTGTTGAGAAAATAAAACAGACTGACAAAACCGTGTCCAGATACCCTAATCGATGTTATCTGGACACAGCGAATAGTTGGTGGGAAATTGGAAAAGCCATATAAAAAATAAACATGAGAAAGAACTAAAAACCACGTTCGCTAAGGGATTAGAAAAGGATGGGTCGAAAACATGTCTTGGTGGTCAAACCCAGTTGTCCAGAACTAGGCTGACCCAGGCTTACCGTGTAAGAGCTGAGAACCATGCTTTTAAACCAATGGGCCGCATCTACGCATGGCGGCACCATTTCTTTGACAAACTTTAATGTTACTATAGTGCACCCACACTAGTTCTACACGGACATCTTAGGTGGATCTAACAGGTCAAACCAATAAATTATATTGGCCAACTATCCTAAGAGCCTCATTTTCTATGGTTGACATCGTCTTAGGTAATCACTGTCAAGATGTCCGACAAATACAAAAACGTAGCATTCATGTTAGTTAGAACCGAAGTCAGGACAAAGTCTTACTTTGTTCTAAACAGTTTGATCGGATATACCATTATTTTATTCTACAGTAGGCTAAGAACTTTGTCGGACTACCCAGTGTCATGATGAAATAACATCAGGTCTGCCGACTCCAAAAGATGCAAAGTGATAAGCTATACTAAAACGAAAATTCTACAGAAACTGTTATCAGCTCAGACAACTTCCAACTTTGCATGCTCTACTACAGTTATTATGCCTGACTGCCAAAGTAGAGTGCATAGAACTGACCCCCATATCTGATACCTAACAATGAAACTGTGTTCAATTTGTAACGCTAGACGAAGCAAAAGGTGACAGCGTCCCTGAAATACATTGCTTCATCAAATAAATCAAATGACTGCAAGGTCGTCTAGTGTAAATTAGATGGCATGTTACATATGGGCGAAAAATATTCCCCACTTAAGAAAAAACACATATATGCACCATATACATATTTGTTCATACGTCACCAGGAATCCTTTTCGTAGTGAGTGTTTAGTGGTCAACCAGTAAGCGGAGATATCCCTCTGCTACCAAGCATCTCTATATTTAAGTGCATGATATCACGGCAATTTAATTTCTTGTAATAAACTGTGCTATACTTAAATGTTGCCTACGTCTGATAGATGTCCAGACTTGTACACCACTAGGTGTCAATGTGTGAAATTACCACTCAATTTGATAGTCTGATAAAGACCACGATTTGTGCAATATTAGGAATGTGGAAAGGGTGAGGACCAGTAAATCATTGTACGCATTTTCGAACATGTCAAAAATAATTTTGAAATGTTGACAGCTGCATTCTAATGCAAAGTTTTAAGCTGTTCATCCCAGAAGCGTATTGCTATCGTTACACATTTCTACTGCTCAGTAGATGCACTTGTAATCCTAGATGCAATAGTCCCAGATATCAATTAGCAACATAAACATGTCCGAGTTTGGAACTACACCAAACGAATAAGTAGTAAATACGGAAGTAAGCAGCAAACCTAGTGTGCTTGAGGACCTTGAAGAAAAAGAAAGTGCTGAGTAAATGTGAATTGTACTCAGTTGTTCCATGTCAACCATAACAAGCGAAAATAGTGTTATAGTTGGACACAGCTGAGTTAGTGAAATGCATCAAAAAAAGTTCCCTATAAGACCATATACTTACCGGAGTTCAGCTGCGGAGATGAATCCATTGCCATCCTTGTCAAAGACACGGAATGCTTCTCGAATTTCTTCTTCACTGTCAGTGTCTTTCATTTTCCGAGCCATCATTGTAAGGAATTCGGGGAAATCAATTGTGCCATTGCCTTAATCTCCTATTAGCATGGCTAATCTGGTCTTACCATCAGCATCAACTTCGTTTATCATATCCTGAAGCTCGGCTTCTGTAGGATTCTGGCCCAAAGAGCGCATAACAGTTCCCAATTCTTTGGTAGTTATTGTTCCATCACCATCCTTGTCAAATAGGGAGAAAGCTTCCTTGAATTCAGCAATCTGTTCTTCTGTTAACTGGTCAGCCTAATGCAAAATCTGTGTTATGTAAATATACAAACCAACCATTCTTAGAGATGTACAGGTAAGTGGACGGTATCCAGATGAGCACGATAACCCGTAACAAGACCGCTTGAGATAGACTGCTGAGTAAAACACAGAGTGTCACTAACACAAAAGTGAATAAAAAAGGTAGATCTTATTATTGTTTGAAAATTATTAAATATTTCATTGAAATACACAATAATGACATTGAGATGCTTAACTAAGTCAAGCCGCGTAACTTAAGTATTACTTCGTTCTATTCCTTTTTGGCCCTTTACAACATAAAGTCCATGAATTTTAAGTTCACACTGCTGTTTAGCACTAAATTGGGAGTTAGAAAAATGGTGACCTCACCTACTCGGTCAACGCTTCCATGTCGAAACGCATGGGAGATTGTTACTGTGCGTACTAGACCTGCAAGAGTAAGTTTCTGCAATCTCACACGTTCCAGGGTATGAAAATTTGTCGACAGACTTTTTATCTGGGCCAGAAGATGCTGAAAAAGACCCATCAGGACTTGCGCAGTTTTGAAATTCGGATCCTGCAGTGAACGTGATACAAACGTAAAGGCAGTAAATGGAACAAATGGAAAGCGAACCTTGACTGCATTATTGATATCGTCCACTGAATTTCGAGGATGCCCCCGCCTAGAAATACCACCAACCAACATACGAAAGTGGGGCCAGAACAATCGGCCTCTTGAAGCAAAACACATACCAACCATTTGTCAGAGGTGTTGCAAATTTGGTGCTGTGTTGTCGCCTGTGCCAGCTAATGTGAGGGAATCAGCAAATATGGCAGTCTCTACAGTCAAATTCAGCTACGAAAGTAGTCGTATTTTGGTCAGTAAATTTAACGTAACCTTTCTGTGAATTTCCAATGACGGTAAGTGCCTCTTGATGACTACTGATCACGCAACACGATCATTAGACGACGTCGCGATTCCGGACCAGATCTCAAGGAGCAGTGATCCAACATAGTGTTGGTGGATGGAGATCTTCATTTCGAAAAGAGTTTCTGTCCTGCTGGCAGAAAGAAGCTTTCGATGGTTTCCGCAATAAGGTTGACAAATGGCTATCAGCCCTCTGATACTGTCACTCCATGCGATATGCAGCTAATATTGGTTAATGGAAAAAATAAGCCAGTCGAATACGATTACAGTCGAAAGGTAACTGTAGGCTGCATAGTTTCTTTTCACATTTTAGCAATTATTGTTGCAAAACGTAAACTGTTATCTCTCTTTTGAATCTCTCTTTACTTTTTCCTCTTGCTTTGTGGCCTACATGGATGGAGTGTGGTGACTCAAGTTACTGCATATCTCTGCAAAGATCTGAGTTGAAACCAGTCAGTTAGCCATTAGTCCGGGTAGCCATGAGGGTGATAGCTTGGCTATGATGTTTCAGGGCTTCTAAAATATAGTATGATATGGCCACTCAAATGTAGTGGGCTATTGAGGAGCCCAGAAGGATGGGACGAATAACCAAGTAAGAACTTTATCTTCTTTACGATTTGTAAGGCCTCCTTTATCTACTGAACAATGAATGTTCTTTCCACGTGTATCAGTAAGCTTCCCGCTTCACTTGCCCCCTGCAGCGCTTTCAAAAGTAGGGGTCCAAAAACACCATTATTCTTCCATAGCAGTACAAGCTGTCGGTCGCTAATTTGAAAAATTGTTTCGGTAGAAATGTCTGTATGTAAGTGGCTGAACCCATTTTGTTCACATCTTGCCTTCTATTTTATTTTAACTGACTAAATTCCACATTTCACTGTTATTTGGTTGTTTTTGGAATTCTGACCAGTCGTACGTACTATTTAATTCAGTTTTATAGACATCATAATGATTCATTTGCCAAGCATAGAAAATGAATCTGGTGACTCTACTTCCGCGTGGGTGGATTCTTAAGTAGTCTAAGTTAGGTTGCCTAAATTTGATCGACTTGGCCTAGAACTTTGGTTTCTCAGCTAAAGCACTACTTTGGCTGGTATATTATTAAGTTTGATACCAACAGGTATGGGGACGTGTGTTCTCAGTAACCTTACGAGATTTTCAAAGAGGTGTGGGAATTCGTACTTCATCCCCACCTCACACGAGTACCCATACCCAGTGCTTAAGTGTGAGGTGATAAAATGCCTTTGTCAGAAAACCAGCCTATGCAACGGTTGTTTCAAAAAGAGAACATGGGCGATAGTTTTCCATCACATTTCTAGTGCCACCTGCTACAGCCTTTAGAGGACAGCGAGTTGGGAGAGGCTGTACTGAGGCAAGGTTGGATACAAGCCCTCCCAGAGTATCTGAAAAGGTACTGGATACACACGATCCTGACTCGTCTCTTGAACAGTTAGCACACGTCACTAATCGGATGTTGGAGTGGCGAAGGGCAGGTGAACCACATGAGCATAAGCAAGGACCCAATTATCTCAGAACTAGTGGCCAAAGTTGGACCACTAGCATATCAACTGGCACAATTGCAGCTAACACAGGACTGACGAGGTAGGTCACCCAATAGTGCACGTTCTCGGCCAAAGGCTAGACTCAGACGAGGTGAATTAACTGTCCCATTCCGTTGGTACCACCGGAAGTTTGGCGCACAGTCAAAAAAATTCACACAACCACTTGCCTGGTCCAAACAACTCCATAAATAACATGGAGGCGATTGGCCCCTTCCAAGGTACTGACTACTGAGGAGTGTCTGAATAGCCGCATGTTATGCGGTAAGGATGAAATCCCGGGACGGACTTACTGGATGATACAGTATCAAACCAAAAACAATGTCTGAGCCAGATGGACACAAACCTCCTGTCACGCTGCAATTGCCTACTATAACCCGGATTGCTACTCTCCGTTAGAGAACTGGCCCACGACCAAGAGCTTGAGTGACAGCCTCCGTGGCTTCTCACTGTCGCTGATCTAAACCTAGTGATCCTTGGCATAACTTCCCTGGAAGACATGGCTTGTCAGTGGGTACTCGAGAGAGACGTTTAACAGTGAAAGAAACCTCCTGGTATGTGGACTGAAAAGTGACTGGGTATAATTCGTTTAGTCTAGTCTAATCTCGGCCAACATCAGCAGAAGAGTTCCGGAAACTCCTAGCGAAATTCCCAGCTATTACGTCAACCAACCACCGGACCCCCAAAGCCAGCTTGATAATCACTCAAATTGTAAGGGAAATGGTACCCCAGCGTTCGATAAGCTGAGAAGACTAGACCCGGACAAGCTGAAAATAGCGAAAGCTGGATTTTACTATATGCTGAAGTTGGGGACTATTTGGCCCTCGTATATTCAGTGGACTTCGCCTTATACTTAGTGCCCATGAAAAATCAAACTCATCGGCGCCCCAATTAAGTAGACCGTCCCAGACAGGTTCCAAGTATTCCACATTCAAGACTTAACTAACAGTCTCCCAGGTGCCACAGTATAAACTGAAAGACTTAGTTCGCGCCTACCACAATATTCCGGTTGGGGAGGATGATACACCTAAAACGGACATTACATTCCCGTTTGGATTATATGAGTTTATGCGGATTGAATTTGGTCTCCGGAATGCTGTATAAGCTTTCCGAAGATTCACGGATGACTTGCTGCGTGAATCGCAGTTCGCTAAAGCTTAGATAGGTAATCCACTCATCGTCAACCTGGATATAAACAAACATGAAGATCACACTAGAAGAAAACATGATAATCAGAGTAGGTGCGTCTTTTAGGGAATAACCACATAATTCCTGGGGCGTATCACGGACAGTACCGGGATCTCACCAATGCCCAGAGAGTTCGGTACCGCTAAACAGTATCCCTCTCCCAATCTCCTAGAGCAACTCCGGTGTTTTCTGGGTTTGATCGACTTCGGTCGATGCTTTATTCCTTATTGCGCACGACACAGGCGACCCCTGACTAGTGCATTATGGGTAAAACCAAAAACCTCAGGTGTCAAAAGAGGCATCAAACGCGACTGCACAGCTGGAAGAAGCGCAAATGCAGGTGTTGAACTTGGACAGTGTAGTAGAACTTGGTTCCATATTATTATTCCCTTGGGTTCCGAGTGGGACATAACGCCTCAACAACAACATACCACTTTGTTATATTTGGTGCTACCCTCTTCAGCCAGGTTCACGATCACCTATAAACTCTCAACTCATCCTCAAACGATTTCCTCCATTTCAACCAACCACGACCCATTCATCCCTTTCCATCAGGGTTTGGCTGCATAGTGATAGGCACATTTAAATGACGGCGATGAAGCAATGATAACTGAATTAAGTTATGAACATAGATTGTTGCTCATTATCACGTCAATTCAGTTACATGGCTTCACAATTTGTCTTACTTATATTTTTCTCTCTCTCTTTCCCCCTTCATCTTGTTGTTAGTTGACACATTCCACATCTACGGCATGGTGTTGTCTCTGTTCAACTGCATGTGCGCAGTGTTTATTTCTTAATTAGATCAATAAAGAGCTTATGTGAAATTCTCAGTGGGGTTACAATTAGGGTGGCATTTAAGCCTTCTGATTGTTTTCAGAGTGTTTCGAGTACCTTTTCGTCACGAAATGTTTGCTTTGCAGTTAGCAGTGTTTCTTACGTTTGTCTTTTTCCTTTCCTGACAATCTTTTTCACTACTTTTAAACTGGACCTAGTTGTTGCCTTTGTTTATGGGAACATAATCTAACGCATGTGTGCACATTTTAGTGCACAACTGTTGACTTTAATATGAGTTTACGCGAATCCGTTGTGAAGCCCTTCTTGCTTTGTCGATCACTACATGATATTCCAGTATATGTTTTCTAACACATTGCCCCCCGTAATTTCCAGCGATTTTACACACAGATTTCTTCTAATGTCACTGACTTTTTTGATAACCGCACCAAAGTTGTCCTTTGAACTTTTTGATTCTCCAACTGTACTCATGGTCTGCCTTTATTGTCTTTGCTGACGTTCTGTTCGATGCTGAAGGGAGAGGAAATTTAGCCTGCAGCCTTTTTAACCGCTAGTGGATGACGATCTTCACCGTTTGGGTTGGTCAAGCATCTACGCTACCCGGCGCACTGTGATATCATGCTCGATGGTTGTTGTGGGTGTAGGGGATCAAACAAATTCATCAACTCAGTTGAAC